GAACCTTCAATCGTATATTTTCTGTAATGAAGTGCAACTTAAAAACACCAAACTTGTTATTACTGAACCTCGTCTTTAAGTTCATCTGTTCATTTCATGGAGTAAATGCTAACTCATAGTTTACTTTATTGCTGTGATAATGTATATCAATAATAAATGAAGTTATATAGAAATAATTTATGGCAGCAATACAAATATAAATATAACCTAATTACTATAGTAACTGGGTTTCTGGATGAAAAATTTATCATATGTGAAAAATGGAATTTTAATGATGAAAACATTCTTGTGAAGATGCGATACGATGGAACAGAATAAAAGCACTTATCTACATTTTCGACAAAGAAAATGACTTCTCCTTTCTCTCACAAGGATTAACTAGAAGAGCAGATTCACTAGTTAAGTTAGTTGTTTGAAACAGAAACTGGAGGATATTTATGGACAGGCTATATAACATGGCGAAGAAAAAGAATCTTCAAGAACGTTGCTGAAGTACAAAATAAAATTTTTTGTCTGATCTCAAGAAATACGAATTGGATAACTACGATGTTATCTAATAATGTTATCTTAACTCAAGGAAGTTAGACTGTCAATACACACTATTACTATTCATTTTTAGTCTGTAGTTTTTCAATAAAATCAAAACTTAGTCGAAGTTAAGTACTGTTAAGTTAAAATTATGTTGATGTAGCATAAAAAAAAGTAATATAAAAAAAAAAAATTTAAAAGTCAATTCCTACTTTTTTTTCACTCTATTACAGAAAGTCTTTTATAAATAATTTTCATTCATTTTTTTTAAGTTTATCTGGTGACATCTATTGGTAGATATATGCAACTTAAATCTAAAAAAAACTAAAATTAATTACTGAATTAATAGTTGGAAAAACAGTATTAACATCAAGTGTCATTCGCTACAAGTTCAAAAAAAAAAAAAATGTATTTGAACTTGACTGGATGAATAAAAAGTATTTTACTAACGTTTGAAATTTTGAACAAGATATATATAGGGAGAGTGTGAGCAGGAATTGAATAACAAAAGCCAAGATATATATACCTGCCGATACCTATTGTCTATATTGACCTTTTTTTAACATAGCTTTGAGAAAAAAATTATTACATTTTTTTTGCAACACATCCATACTCTCAGAAAGCTTAGTCTTCCCTTTCCCTTAATTCATTTTGTTTTAATTTGTGACAAGGAACAAATGCATTCTTTTTATTACAATTATGTAAAAAATATATTCTTTATCGAAAATCCTTTTTTGTCCCCCTTTCAACGATTTATCTTTATTCAAGTCCTTCTATTAGCTGACATTCTCCCTATGTATATCTTGTTCAAATTTTCAATTGTTCATAAAATACTTTTTATTCCTCCACTCGAGTTCAAATTCATTTTTTTTTGAACTTGTAGTGGATGACACTGGATGCTAATACAGTTTTTTCAAATATTAATTCATTCGTTAAATTTAATTAATTAATTTTAGTTTTTTTTAGATTTAAGTTGCATATATCTACTAATAGATGGCGCCAGATAAACTTAAAAAAATGAATGAAAACTATTTATAAAGGATTTTCTGCAATATAGTAAAAAAAAGTAGGAATTGACTTTATTACTTGTTTTTTTATGAAAATTTAATAATTAATGTTTTCAAAAATTTGTCTGATAAAAATGGGATGACATTCATTGAAGTGAGCATTTTTTTTTTTTTGTCTTCAAAATTTAATTATGGTTAAAGTCACAATTCTTAATGGTTTATTAATATATTGGATTTAAACCAACGGCTTTATTTCTGAAATAATGTTAGGAGCATATAGAATTTTAATATTCAGTTGATACAGTTTCCATGATGTTTTTGGATGTTTTTTGTAGTAGATATTAGTTCATTTAAAATTTAAAATAATTATAAATTTGCATTAAATGTATATGCATCTCTGGAACAGTCTTTGTTCAATTAAATTTTATTAAATCAAATTTTATTCATGTAATTTTTCTTAAGCATTTTTATTGAATATTTAAATAATTTTTATAATGTGCAAGATTCCCTTTCATCTCCATTGTAACGTCTCGGCCGATACTAAACCTATAACGACTTCAAGAAGAGGGCCATTTTCAGGAACGTGGGAGCATTTTAAATTTTATTTACAAGCACTATTTCTATATACACAAATCTGTTTACAATGAAGTGAAAATTAAATATATAAGTTAGATACATAAGTGCAGTTCACTCCCAGGACGGAGATATTCAGAGTTCTCTAGACTACACTGAACCCAGTTGGACTAGATAGTTTGAGACGAATCTAGTCTAATAGCAGCAGACAGCAACAAGAGCAGTCCTGCGGCAGACCTTAATTATCACACGGCGGGATACACGAAACCACAAGGAGCTCACTTTTGTAGAAAAGACGGAAACTCCGTCCTGTCCAGTACCTTTCAGAAAAAAAAAAAGAAAACAACACTTCTTGTCGATTCGACGCAGAACTCTCTTGTTTCGTCTCCAAAAACCTCCCTTTAAGAAAATCTGTCAAGCGGGTATGGGTGGGTCAGCGTCCCTCACGTCTCATTGCAGTAGACACTTTCTCAGCCCATGGTCTATCACCAATCACAATGTAACAACTCATGGTGTAGTCCATATTTCATCTGTAATGGTTTCGACCTGTGAAGATCGCACAGACAATTACTATTTTCATGAAGTCTCATTATCCATGATACTGAGTATCTGCTATCAGATTTGAGTGGCAAACTGTTCTCATTGACACAAAACACTAATGGCATGTAGTATAACTATTTATAACACTGCTTATCTGCTGTCAAATTTGAGTGATAGACTGATATTGTGCATTTGTAAAAAATATACATTCCTCTCTCCTGAGAAAGCAATGCTACAATTATTCCCCTGGGAAAAATGCTACAACGTACTAGTTTTTTTTAACTTAACAATCATTTTCTTGTAATCGTTTTTTAAAATTATAATTTAAATGTTTGGAAAAATTAACTTTAACAACAATAAAAAGCAATAATTTTTTTTTAAAGTAATTATTTTAACTGCAGTATGATATATAAACATAAAAACCATACCATATTGTTAAATGAATTTTAATAAAATTTTTATTTTAGTAGATAATTCTATTCGTAATTTTCGTATAATTGCATTCGTAATTTTGTAGATAAAATAACTAAAAATAAGTTATAATTTAAAACATAAATTTTTTCCTTTCTTATTTTATTATATTAACCATTTTTTCCTTAAAATTTTTTAGCATCCTTCAAAATATTATAATTAAAAACTAATTTAAAATAATTTATTTATTGATGAAAAAAAAATTTAATGTGGAAATGAATGAAAAAAAGGTAAGCAAATAAAAGACTAATTGAAACGGATGTAATAAATATCCACCCAAGTTTTACAAAAAATTAAAAGAACATTAAAAAAAAAACATGCTATTTAACATTTGTGTACTCATTTCTAGTTTGGAAACACCCTTGTGTTAAATTTATTCCGAATTTTACAGGATATTTTATTCAGTAAACAGAAAATTTAAGCATACTTGTCTGCAATTAATGATACCCTTCATAAGTGGGTGGATCTCTTAAATTTTTCATATAAAAAGGTTTTCGTAGATTACATATCTATTGGAATATGAATTAGAATTGAATTATAGCGAAATTGAGTTACAAAAAGAGGAGTACCCAACTTTCTTTCTTCTAAATTAAATAATATTGACTTGATTATCAGTTTTTGCAAGTGTTGTTCAACAACATGAACATCCGTGTCACTGAATGGGAACACCGGAATTATTTATGTATTTCAATTATTTTTTCCTGAATTTCTTTGCTATTATACATTTATGTTCTAATCAGTTGTAGTTGTTTTTATCCTATTTGGTAGAAATCTAGACCAAGCCCACGATCCGTATGGAATCATGGTTGAAGGGAAAGGGGGCAGCTTCTGTTGTGATGGAGCACCCGTATATAGAAGATTGACTTGGCTCCGTGACAGTCTTACCATATGAGACCGGGACCTTCGGTTTAAAGGGGATTCTAACCACTACAAATATCCAGGACATCGCCGGGACTCGAACCCGAAACACGTGTCATCGAGCGCTAGACACTCGGCCATTCAATCCTTGTTCTAATCAGTCTTATTTTAAGGAATGACGAATCCACTGGCTGCATTTGTTGTCAGCAAAACTTTCAGGAACGAAGATATTCGATGGCCATTTTGATAAACGTGTATAATGCAGATTCATTAATATGCAGGTCATCAATGCATGCAGATTGCTCCCCATCTATCAACCATCGGTGGGCTGTTTTGTGGTGTACAGAAGTGTAATACGATGTCCACCGATTTATGGGAAAAATATAACACGATTATCGTAATCGCAAATATTGAAGAAAATAAATATCAAATGTCATAAATAACTAGTAACGTATCTGTTTTATTTTTTTCCCCCGATACAAATTATATTAGTCAAAACTGGCAATAAATGAATTTCAATCATTTTGCAACTTTGACGAACTATCCTTTGAAATTTAGATGAAACTATCCAACAAATAATCTATATAAAAAAAAATTAAAGTCAATTCCTACCTTTTTTTTCACTATATTGCAGAAAGTCCTTTATAAATAATTTTCATTCATTTTGTTAAGTTTATCTGGCGCCATCTATTGGTAGTATATGCAACTTAAATTTAAAAAAAAATTAAAATTAATTAATTAAAATTAATTAATGAATTAACATTTGAAAAAACTGTATTAACATCAAGTGTCATCCGCTACAAGTTCAAATACATTTTTTTAAACTTGAGTGGATGAATAACAAGTATTTTATTAGCAATTGGAAATTTGAACAAGATATATATAGGGAGAGTGTAAGCTAATAGAAGGAATTGAAAAAGGTGTTTTTTATTCTTGCAATAGTATATAATATTAATATTAGGTTGGAAACAAAGTAATGTCATTTTTCTGGTGCTACATTTGAAATGTTCACTATTTCGGTCAGCCATCATAGTTCAGTGGTTCGAACAATGGTCTTGTAAACCAGGGGACGTGAGTTCATTCCTCACTGGTGGTTAAATAACACGCTTTTTTGAAAAATGCAAATTTGAAATTTATAAAAACCTGTATCACAATAACAAATTCCAAGTAATTCGATTACTCTTTAATTGTATCGAATTTCTAACTTAAATTCGTTATATTTTTAAAAAATTTTATCTTTATTTTGTATCTTACTTTTATTTTATTTTAAGTATTTTTTATTTTTTCAGGGTACCATTTTTAAAAATTTTAGAAACTCTATTTTATTATCTTACTAACAATTAAGCAGCCAATTATTAATTAAGATTAAATATATGAATTAAAATGAGGAAGTTAAAGGGTTTATCCCCATTAGTACTTCGAAATCGATACGCCAGTTGCCAGTCATATTTTCATTGCTTTTTGTAATATTTAGACAATTTTGATATCAATCGAAAGTTGGTTTTCCATGTTTTGATTTGTGATATTATAGGCATTTTTTAATTATTCATTTGAGAAATAGGGTATATGATAGGCCAAGAATACTTTATTTTAGGCGCTCTATGCTTTATGAGTTTCGACTTGGTCATAATGCCGTGGGAGCTCATAATAGTTTTAGTTTCGCCTTTAGACCATCTAAAGTTAAAGGTCAGGTGAATGAAGCTTCAAGATGAACCGCCGACTTTAATGAATAATAAACCACTATTGACTAGAGGTAGACCAGGGATAAGTTAAGCAATTAATTATTAATTTTAATTAACAAAAAATTTAATCTTAACTTTGTGAAAAAAATGAAATGTATCGTACTAACATTTTTATGCGGTTGCGGTTTTATGCTTTTATTGTATCGTTAATCCTTAGCATCATTAATACATGTTCACTAACCCAAGAAATTTATGAAGCAATTAGTCATGTTACAAAAACCGTAGTTCTCCATTTTAGAGTTCCATCTGTTTTATTGGCGATTTTTTCCTCTTGCGGTTTTCACCTCCTAAACAAAATGGTCGCTGCGGTTACAAAATATTGTGGTTTTGGCTATTCCATTTGATGGGGGAAATACTTGGCGAAAACAAACCCTAAAGTACAGAATCCCCACAAGAACTATCAAATTCAATAGCGATAGAAATATAAAAAAATGGTATTAACTCTAGAACTTTATGAAGAAGCAATTGCTGAATACTAAGAAGCACTACCAAACTCAGACAGAGAAGACTTTTAAGTGATGGTTACATTAACTTTTATAAACATAAACTAATCCTTAAATACTATTTTTTTTTCTATTGAAATAGTAATCTGTTTATATTTTGAAAGCCAGACAATTCAAATTGAACTACAGGGTGAGTGATTTGTTATGGGCCAATCGTTAGATTTAACATCACATATTTCATTTAGATATTTAAAACATATCATTAACCGTGAAAATCAGTGTTTATTTTAAATAACAGTTTTTGAATATTCACGATTCAATATTCATGATATTCACGATTCAATATTCATCATAAAAAATAATAATTATAGATTTTTTGTTGCAGAAACGAGATTGCCCTATTGTAAAGTGCAGTGAGTTAGGAAAGCGAAATGTTAACAAGCAAATAAGTTTACTTTAAGTTCACAATCTTTTAATTAAAGTTTTTTATGCGTTTAACTAGATTTTCTTATTTTAAAAATATCTAATATATTTTTGAAAAATAATTTAGTTCTATAATTATTTGAAACGAGCAATTATTATAATTTGTCTACTTAAAATATTAATAAATAAAAAAAAAACAATGATAATTATTTTTAATGAGCATATTTTATGCATTAAATAAATTTTTAAATAAAAAGTAATTAATCTTTAATTAATTAGCTTTACTTACAATAATTAGCTTTATTAAAGCTATTGGAATAATGATTTTCTTTAAATCAGAACTGAGTCGATTTTTGTTTTAACGTAAAATTGGTTGCACTTTTATTAAAATATAATAAAATGTTTTTCTTTAAAATTGTGTTTAGAAACTATTAAAGTGATCTTTGATACTGTTTAGCTATTTTACACGGCTATAAGTAGTATAACATAGTTTTTTAATAATATTAATGTAATTGAATTTTTTTTTTTATATATAATTCGCGATATTTTCTTGAGGTTTCCTCATATTGTGTGTATTTATTTCAGCATATTATATACTTACATAGATATGATCTGGTATTGCCAGCTACTATAAATATTATATATTTTATTTGTTAAGTTGTGTTGAAAAGAACCATAAATGATTATTTCAGGTTATAATTCCGAAATATCTAGAACATAATTTTTATGCAATCAATGTCATCCACACTTTTTTTTCGCTGCACATCAGCGGAGTCTTTTTTATGCATACTAACGGCAACCTATCGAAAAATAATAATTGGAAGGCATTGCTCTCAGTGGAAACTTGTAGAGAAAACTGATTCACATTTGCGTGTAGTATGAGAGAAAATGCCATGATATTCCAACCGAATAATCTGACAATTAATGCGAGATTTATTAAAGCGCCGCTGTAATCTCCATCCAGTCTTCTCGTTAATAAAAGCAATAATTGCTAAAGAATGATTACAATAATTGACATGAGCTGAATGTTTATCTAAGAAGTTACTTGTCAATTATATTGTTCATTATTTTTAATGCTTTTTCTTCTATGGTTTTTGTCTTACAAATACACAAATATATCCTAAAAGTACACACAAATAAATATATATATGTGTGGGTTTTTAGGTGCACTTATATGTTTAAATTTCGCAAGCAAATAGTAAAATTTTTTTTCTCACGAGATGAGTTGTGGCATTTAATTCCCAGGATATATGTTATTTGAAAAATATGTAATAATAAACCCAATCACTCAAATTTGACAGCCAATGATCTTTGTGGGTAGTTATATTACATGCAATTAGAATTTTGTACTAATGAGAACAACCTGTCACTCAAATCTGAAAGCGGATATTCGGTATCATGTATAATGAGGAAATTAGCGAATGTCTGTGCGGCCTTCACAAATAGAAACAACTACAGATTGAATATGATACATTATGGGTTATTCCATCGTGATATGTGATAAACTACGAGGCGAGAAATGCCTAATGAGTAGTGAGGGAAGCTGACACCTTCCCTCGATCTTGAAGGATTGTCTTAAAAGGTTTTTTTTTTTTTTTTTTCGGTGAAAAAGAGAGTTCTGCGACGAGTTGACCAGAAATGTGTTTTTTTTCTGAAGTGACTGAATAGGCCAGAGTTTTCCGCCTGTTTTCTAAGTAAGCCCCTTGTGGTTTCGTGAATCACGCCGTATGATAGTTGGTCTGCCACAGACCAAGTATTTAGATTCGTCGTACCGTCGAAAACTCTGAAATGAATGTTTACAATTTTCCTCAAGATTGGATAATTGAAAATTTTCATTGTTTATATAAAATAAATTATTTTCAATAATGCGTCAGGAACAGTATTAGATGTTAACAGTTATATATATGAGATTTTATGATGCTATAAGTTAAAAGTATTATTCTACATATGAAATATAGAAATAAAAATTAAAGTTGAAAAAAAAAAAGTCAGGAAGTAATAAATAATATTTAAAACCTAAAGCAACGGAATTGGTAAGATATTATCTGTTTTTTCAATATCTAACTCATAAAAAAGAATAATCAAGTTCTTTTAATGATACGGAAGAAGGAAAGATTATTTAATGAACTATGATGAAATAAAAAATTTTATCAGGAAGTGTGATTTTTTTTTAACATAAAATCGAAGCTATTCTAGATCGATAATTAGATTCACACTTTGAAAGAGATTTTTAAAAAATGTATCAATATTATTGTAATAGTTAATGGAAAAATATTTTTTTTTAAATCGGAAATAAAATGAACACATTTGGAAGGAAAAAGTAATAAAAAAGTATTATTGTGTCTGGTATTCAATCAGAATAAATTTGCTGAACAATTTCATTATTTTTTAGCTCTGATAACAGGAAGAAGAAATTAAAATATTCTTTAAATGTTTATATTGTTTTTTTTTCATACTTTGCCTAAAGGTGTATAATAAAATGGGGTCTTATTGACTTCTCTTTAAAGGAGAACACTACTTCTGTGAGTTAATGTCTCTTTTCAAGCACATTGTATGGTTAATGCCTTTCAAAAAGTCCGGTCCAGTGTTTGCATGTCGTAATGAAGAAAACCCAGAATACTCCTATGGGGTTCGACTATTTATACAATAGGCCACTGTGACGTTTCGACCTATACTAGACCTATAGCGCCTTCAAGAAGAGAACCACTTTCAGGTTCATGGGAGCACTTTAATTTTTATTTACAATCATTATATTTACATATACAGAAACTTGGGTTATTGCAAATTATTATTTATAAAGAGATGGAAATTAACGATATAATTTGATTTACAAATGCAGTTCTCGCGTCTACGACGAATCTAATGCACCCGGTCTGTGGCAGACCTTATCACACGGCGTGATACACGAAACCACAAGGGGCTCACTTTGTAAGCAGACGGTATGATCACCCTGTTATCTTCACGATATCTCCACCCTGTTCAGTCACTTTACAGAAAAAGAGAAAGACAATTCTTTTCGACTCGTCGCAGAACTCTCTTCCTCTTTCTCCCAAAACCTCACTTTAAAAATCCGTCAAGAGGAGGAAAATTACTATTCCCTCACTTCTCATTAGAGTGGACAGTTCCTCAGCCCATAGTCTATCACTAATCACGATGCAGGAACTCATGACGTAGTCCATATCCCATTTGTAATTGTTTTGATCTGTGAAGGTCGAATAGACATTCGCTAATTTCATGATGTATCATTATCTATAACACTGATTATCTGACGTCAGACTTGAGAACTAAGTTGTTATGCGTTAAAGAATATACATTCCTTTCTCCTGGGAACAGTAATGATATATTTCTTCTCGTCGGAAAAAATGCTTCTCTATTATCGAAGTAAATCCTTTTTCAAAGCAGTGACAATAGCACTTGCCACTATCATGAATCAAACCTACAATGTTACCAATGTTTATTTATTTATTTATCGGGTATCTTATATATGC